AGAGAAGTTAAGAGAGTGGTGAAGCAATGTAAAAAGAGAGCAAATGAGAGAGTGGGTGAGATGTTATCAACAAATTTTGTTGAAAATAAGAAAAAGTTTTGGAGTGAGATTAACAAGTTAAGAAAGCCTAGAGAACAAATGGATTTGTCAGTTAAAAATAGGAGAGGAGAGTTATTAAATGGAGAGTTAGAGGTATTGGGAAGATGAAGGAATATTTTGAGGAATTGTTAAATGTTGATGAAGATAGGGAAGCTGTGATTTCGTGTATAGGGCAAGGAGGAATAACATCTTGTAGGAGTGAGGAAGAGCCAGTTGTGAGTGTGGGGAAGTTTGTGAGGCAGTAGGTAAAATGAAAGGGGGTAAGGCAGCCGGGATTGATGGGATAAAGATAGAAATGTTAAAAGCAGGTGGGGATATAGTTTTGGAGTGGTTGGTGCAATTATTTAATAAATGTATGGAAGAGGGTAAGGTACCTAGGGATTGGCAGAGAGCATGCATAGTTCCTTTGTATAAAGGCAAAGGGGATAAAAGAGAGTGCAAAAATTATAGGGGATAAGTCTGTTGAGTGTACCTGGTAAAGTGTATGGTAGAGTTATAATTGAAAGAATTAAGAGTAAGACGGAGAATAGGATAGCAGATGAACAAGGAGGCTTTAGGAAAGGTAGGGGGTGTGTGGACCAGGTGTTTACAGTGAAACATATAAGTGAACAGTATTTAGATAAGGCTAAAGAGGTCTTTGTGGCATTTATGGATTTGGAAAAGGCGTATGACAGGGTGGATAGGGGGGCAATGTGGCAGATGTTGCAAGTGTATGGTGTAGGAGGTAGGTTACTGAAAGCAGTGAAGAGTTTTTACGAGGATAGTGAGGCTCAAGTTAGAGTATGTAGGAAAGAGGGAAATTTTTTCCCAGTAAAAGTAGGCCTTAGACAAGGATGTGTGATGTCACCGTGGTTGTTTAATATATTTATAGATGGGGTTGTAAGAGAAGTAAATGCGAGGGTCTTGGCAAGAGGCGTGGAGTTAAAAGATAAAGAATCACACACAAAGTGGGAGTTGTCACAGCTGCTCTTTGCTGATGACACTGTGCTCTTGGAGATTCTGAAGAGAAGTTGCAGAGATTGGGGATGAATTTGGTAGGGTGTGCAAAAGAAGAAAATTAAAGGTGAATACAGGAAAGAGTAAGGTTATGAGGATAACAAAAAGATTAGGTGATGAAAGATTGAATATCAGATTGGAGGGAGAGAGTATGGAGGAGGTGAACGTATTCAGATATTTGGGAGTGGACGTGTCAGCGGATGGGTCTATGAAAGATGAGGTGAATCATAGAATTGATGAGGGAAAAAGAGTGAGTGGTGCACTTAGGAGTCTGTGGAGACAAAGAACTTTGTCCTTGGAGGCAAAGAGGGGAATGTATGAGAGTATAGTTTTACCAACGCTCTTATATGGGTGTGAAGCGTGGGTGATGAATGTTGCAGCGAGGAGAAGGCTGGAGGCAGTGGAGATGTCATGTCTGAGGGCAATGTGTGGTGTGAATATAATGCAGAGAATTCGTAGTTTGGAAGTTAGGAGGAGGTGCGGGATTACCAAAACTGTTGTCCAGAGGCTGAGGAAGGGTTGTTGAGGTGGTTTCGGACATGTAGAGAGAATGGAGCGAAACAGAATGACTTCAAGAGTGTATCAGTCTGTAGTGGAAGGAAGGCGGGGTAGGGGTCGGCCTAGGAAGGGTTGGAGGGAGGGGTAAAGGAGGTTTTGTGTGCGAGGGGCTTGGACTTCCAGCAGGCATGCGTGAGCGTGTTTGATAGGAGTGAATGGAGACAAATGGTTTTTAATACTTGACGTGCTGTTGGAGTGTGAGCAAAGTAACATTTATGAAGGGATTCAGGGAAACCGGCAGGCCGGACTTGAGTCCTGGAGATGGGAAGTACAGTGCCTGCACTCTGAAGGAGGGGTGTTAACGTTGCAGTTTAAAAACTGTAGTGTAAAGCACCCTTCTGGCAAGACAGTGATGGCGTGAATGATGGTGAAAGTTTTTCTTTTTCGGGCCACCCTGCCTTGGTGGGAATCGGCCGGTGTGATAATAAAAAAAATAAAAATAATTTCCCTCTTTCCTACATACTCTAACTTGAGCCTCACTATCCTCGTAAAAAACTCTTCACTGCTTTCAGTAACCTACCTCCTACACCATACACCTGCAACATCTGCCACATTGCCTCCCAGGTGTAAATGATAATGGGAGCCCTTTGATTGAACCTTGTATAGAAAGGGGTTTAGTTGTAGGTAATACATATTTTAAGAAAAAGAGGATAAATAAGTATACAAGATATGATGTAAGGTGAAATGACAGTAGTTTGTTGGATTATGTATTGGTAGATAAAAGATTGTTGAGTAGACTTCAGGATGTACATGTTTATAGAGGGGCCACAGATATATCAGATCACTTTTTAGTTGTAGCTACACTGAGAGTAAAAGGTAGATGGGATACAAGGAGAATAGAAGCATCAGGGAAGAGAGAGGTGAAGGTTTATAAACTAAAATAGGAGGCAGTTAGGGTAAGATATAAACAGCTATTTGAGGATAGATGGGCTAATGAGAGCATAGGCAATGGGGTCGAAGAGGTATGGGGTAGGTTTAAAAATGTAGTGTTAGAGTGTTCAGCAGAAGTTTGTGGTTACTGGAAAGTGGGTGCAGGAGGGAAGAGGAGCGATTGGTGGAATGATGATGTAAAGAGAGTAGTAAGGGAGAAAAGGTTAGCATATGAGAAGTTTTTGCAAAGTAGAAGTGATGCAAGGAGGGAAGAGTGTATGGAGAAAAAGAGAGAGGTTAAGAGAGTGGTGAGGCAATGTAAAAAGAGTGCAAATGAGAGAGTGGGTGAGATGTTATCAACAAATTTTGTTGAAAATAAGAAAAAGTTTTGGAGTGAGATTAACAAGTTAAGGAAGCCTAGAGAACAAATGGATTTGTCAGTTAAAAATAGAAGAGGAGAGTTATTAAATGGAGAGTTAGAGGTATTGGGAAGATGGAGGGAATATTTTGAGGAATTGTTAAATGTTGATGAAGATAGGGAAGCTGTGATTTCGTGTATAGGGCAAGGAGGAATAACATCTTGTAGGAGTGAGGAAGAGCCAGTTGTGAGTGTTGGGGAAGTTCCTGAGGCAGTAGGTGAAATGAAAGGGGGTAAGGCAGGCAGGATTGATGGGATAAAGATAGAAATGTTAAAAGCAGGTGGGGATATAGTTTTGGAGTGGTTGGTGCAATTATTTAATAAATGTGTGGAAGAGGGTAAGGTACCTAGGGATTGGCAGAGAGCATGCATAGTTCCTTTGTATAAAGGCAAAGGGGACAAAAGAGAGTGCAAAAATTATAGGGGGATAAGTCTGTTGATTATGCCTGGTAAAGTGTATGGTAGAGTTATTGTTGAAAGACTTAAGAGTAAGACGGAGAATAGGATAGCAGATGAACAAGGAGGCTTTAGGAAAGGTAGGGGGCGTGTGGACCAGGTGTTTACAGTGAAACATATAAGTGAACAGTATTTAGATAAGGCTAAAGAGGTCTTTGTGGCGTTTATGGTTTTGGAAAAGGCGTATGACAGGGTGGATAGGGGGGCAATATGACAGAATGGAAGATATATTACAGAAATAGACATGATTTTGATTGCTTTCATGACGAAAAGTACTTTGAAATTGAGCTCAAAGTAGCAGAAATGTTCGATTTTTGCCAATGTGCATTGAACTGTGTAAGTCAAGTTGGTTAATTTTATTAAGTGTATTCTAACCTAACCACTCTGTAATTCAGCAAACTCAGTAATCCGGCACACTACAGGTCCCAATGCCGCCGGATTTGTGATGGAGGACCTGTATAACACTTAGAAAAATGTGCTCTTTATTTTCATAAAAAAAATGATTTTTTTTATTTTTCAAAATATTCAGGGCATTGGAGTAGTGAACATTCATATACATTTGGACCATTTATGGGTTAAAATGTTAAAAGTCAATTCTCAGATGACATATTAGGGATAAAACTAAATATTATTGCAACCATAACTTGATAATGTTGCAGGATGGACTGAAATATAACCTTGGGTTATCTTCAGCGTGTGTTAAATGTGTGATGTATTTAAAGCTTCTGCCTGATTATGTAAAAATAATGCTTATATTATTGCAAAGAAAATGATCAAACTATGTATTTAAATATTATATAAGATACAAGTTTGGTACTTGCTGCATTGATGTATAAGTTTACTTAATAGTGACCTTTATTTCTACTTTCCTGCAACTTTCTCAGTCACACAGAAGTGACCTTTATGTTTACTTCCTTGCCACACACATGAAGGTACAAGTCTACACAATGGTGACCATTGTTTCTACCTTCACTACTGTCACTTTCTCATTCACAAACTCTAATATGACTCTGAAGAAGATTTTTTTTCCCGTAATGAATCTGTTAAATTTATAAAATTTGTGCTAGTGTGTCCATAAATGATTTTCAGTGGTATGTATGATCTATTGCTTAATTAAATAGTGGGGTTCAAACCCATGATAAGTGAGTTGTAAAACTCAGAGCAGTGTGCTGACCACTGGGCCAGCTGGCTCTAATAACATTCATCCAACTGGGTATATTTTTGTGCACCATAGTGAGGCAAGTTTTAGCCCTTAAGCTGTCCAAATGTAGATCTACGTTCACGTGCGTAGCGCTCCGATCTTGATTTTCCTTATTTGAAAGCACGTAAAAAAAAACGTTGATCTACGTTCAAAGCCTGCTGTATGTCAATGTATATCTGCGTGTGGACAGTTTAAGGGTTAACAGATGAATCCTACACCTGCATTTGTGGTCAGAGTGGGGCTCATGCTAACATTCCTAAGGTGTACTGAAATATATCTGGTTAGTTGAATGCTATTAGAGCGTGCTGGTCCAGTGGTCAGCACACTGCTCTGTGAGTTTTAATGTTTATAGGATTTCAGATCCTGGAATAATTGATATATTCCTACTGTTTTTTAATCTAGGTTCAACTTCCAGAGAGGATTATAATCTATGAGTTGTACTCCCAAGATGCATCTGATATGCACTACCGTGTGCGGGAGAAGATTAACCAGCGCTTGGACTGCAATCTTCTTGTTGTGTGCACTAATCACATCGTTTTATGCCAGGTATTGCTATACATGCTCACATATCAATGTTTTGTGTATTGTCTTCTTTCTTTCAACAAACCAGCTGTATCCCACCAAGGCAGGGTGGTCCAAAAAGAAAAAACAAAAGTTTCTCTTTTTAACTTCAGTAATGTATACAGGAGAAAGGGTTACTAGCCCCTTGCTCCTGGCATGTTTTGTGTAACATGATTTCAGAATAATATTTTCATGCATTTTAAAATCAAATCAAATTGTTAACTAACTTTCAGATGATCATAATACAATACTGTAACTTGATAGAAACAGATCACCTGATTCATACCCCCTTCAGTTCACAGGAAAATATTTAAAGAAAGCTATTTAAAATTTTTGTATCTGTTTTTAACTTGGCATGTAAATTAACCAATCAGCCAAAATTAAACTTATTAAAATTTATGCAGTTTAAAACAAAATAATATTTTTTTCAACATTTTGGCTGTCTCCCACCAAGGCAGGGTCACCCAGAAAAAGAAAGAAACACTTTCACCATCATTCACACACAATCACTGTCTTTGCAGAGGTGCCCAGATATGACAGTTTAGATGTCATTCCAAACAGCCAATATCCCAAACTCCTCCTTTAAAGGGCAGGCATTGTACTACTTCCCACCTCCAGGACTCAAGTCCAGCTAATCTGTTTCTCTGAATCTCTTAACAAAATATTACCCTGCTCACAATCCAACATTTGTCAGGTCCCAGAAACCATTCGTCTCCATTCACTCCAATCTACCACACTCACACATGCCTGCTGCATGTCCAAACCCTTTGCACACAAAACCTCTTTTACCCCCTCCCTCCATCCTTTCCTAAGATGACCCCTGCACCTCCTCCCCTCCACTACAGATTTATACTCCCTCCAAGCCAACATATTTTGCTCCATCTCTCTAAATGACCAAACCACCTCAACAACCCATCTTCAGCCTTCTGAATAATACAGTGGTACCTTGACTTATGTGTTTAATTTGTTCCACGACCCAGCTCGTAACTCACTTTGCTCGTATATCAAATCAATTTTTGTCATTGAAATTAATTGAACTGCCATTAATCCATTTCAGCCCCCCCCCCCCCTCCAAAAAAAAAAAAAAATTGTTACAGGTTTTTAAATAAGAAAAATGTATTTATAAATAAGAAATATTGTATAAAAACATAATAAAAGAGAATGTAAAGAAATAAACTGGTTTTACCCCGAGGTAATACACACCATAGGGTAGCATCAGCTACTGAGACACTGCTGGCTTCTCCTTCTGCTATAGCTAGCTCTGCCCATTTTGTAATAATGCCAAATGGTGAATTAAATATGTATACAGTAGACTTTTATATTACGTGGTTTTATTTGGCACATTTTGGTTATTGCACTACAGTGGACCCCCGGAGTACGACATCATCGGATTAACCCATAAATGGTCTAAACGTGTATATAGATTTATACCACTAGTGCCCCAAATGTATATATATGTTTTATTTTTCCTGCCTTCAAATTTGGCACGATTGGCCTGAGATGCCTTGTCAGCATAGAATGGGTCGTAACACTCAGTGTGCGCGGTATTAAAGAAATCTGGGGCCACTTAGTACCTTGTGGGAGCACCAGTTCAAATGAGCTCCAGCTAGAGCAAACAGTGCAGCAAACACCTGGGATTCACTGATGTCATGCAGTATTAGCACTCCCATTTTAAGAGGAAAGTGATTCTGACCCTGAGTTTATTGGCTTTGAGGTGGATGTGGCCACAAGTTGTCGAGGAAATATAAAAAAACCTCAGTAATAACCCATGTGCAATATTTGTGCAACACCCTTTCAGAATGTCTTATAATCTATGTCCTAAGTCAAGAGAAACTATTTATTTATTTCTTTATTTATTTATTTATTTTATGTCTTTGCAAATAGTACATTAAGATTTTGTATTTACAATAGTGGGTTGCAATGCAAAGAGAGCGTCTATTATGCCTAGGCATTATGGGCCAACTTAACATTATTGGCTTACAGTCTACTTAATACTAAGGAGTATATCATAGTTGTACAGTAGGATAGTAATTATTTCATAGTTGTACAGTAGAATATTAATTATAAATGAATCAAAATTTGTATAATACAAGGATATATTTATATTCGAAAATGCTTTTTGTGAAAACAATGATTCAATTATATTCCTGTCAACAATGGATAAAAGGTTCAGTGTGATTGTTTCAGTTATGATGTGGGAGTACATAGGTGAGTAAGTGTGTACCGAGTATTTAGCATTTAGTCTAGGGTGATTAAGTGGCTTTTGAGAAAAGTCTTAAATTGATTTTCAGACTGGGTTACTTTAATATCTTCTGGTAATGAATTCCATATTTTGGAGTCCTTTATGTGCATAGAGTTTTTACACAGCGTGATATGGACATGAGGTATATCAAAAAGAGATGTGTCTTTTGGTTGTGGTTATGTGTCCTGTTTAGGTTGGTGAGGAAAAGTTTGAGTGGGGGGTTTATATTTGTGTGTATTGTTCTGTGTATGTAGTAGGCACATGAGTAAGTATGGATGTTCTTAATTGTGAGCAGATTCAGACTTTTGAAAATTGGTGGAGTATGCTGGCGGGAGTGGGAATTTGTTATCATTCTTACTGCTGCCATTTCCTGGGTTATTAGCGGTTTTAGGTGATTGAATGTTGTTGATCCCCATGCACAAATTCCATATGTAAGATAAGTGAATGGTACAGTGCCAGGAGAGCTGATTGTGGAACGTTGTACCTTATCTTTGGCAGTATGCCTACAGTCTTGGAGATTTTCTTGGTGATTTGTTGTATGTGTGTCCGGAACTTAAGGCTACTATCAAGGTGGATACCTAGGATTTTTCCCTCTGTGAGTCTTGTGACTGATGATCCATTTAGTGTTATGTTAATTGGATCATTTGCAGCTTTGTTTCCAAACAGAATGAAATAGGTTTCATCAGTGTTCAGGGTAAGTTTGTTAGTCATCATCCAGGCAGATATTTTCTGTAATTCAGCATTGACTGTTTGCTAGTATGTCTGTGTTTGGGTGGGAAAAGACATATGTAGTGTCATCTGCAAATAATATGGGTTTGAGTAACTGTGATGCATTCGGTACATCATTGATGTAGATGAGAAAGAGGAGTGGTCCAAGGACGCTTCCTTGTGGGACTCCTACTGTGATTGGTTGGCTGGAAGAGTTTGCATCATTTGCATACACATATTGAGTTCTGTTACTAAGGTATGACTTTAGGTAGTTGAGGGAGTGGCCTCTGATACCATAGTGCATTAATTTGGGGTACAGCAGTTCATGGTCGACTGTATCGAAAGCTTTATGTAAATCAATGAAAATGCTCAGCGGGACTTCTTTCTTTTCATGTTCTAGCATGTGTATGATAGCATCATTTGTGCTTTTATTATTCCTGAATCCAAACAGACAAGGGTTTAATATGTTGTGTGAAATGAGGTAGGAATAGATCCGTCTATGAATTAATTTTTCAAAGATTTTAGAGAGCAGTGGTAAGTTAGATATTGGTCTATAGTTATTCAAGTCAGCTTGGTCACCTCCTTTATGGATCGGAGTGACCCTCGCTATTTTGAGGATTGTTGGGAAGGTAGATGATTCAATGGATTTGTTAAAGAGCATTGCAATAATTGGTGACAATACCTGAGAAGCTTTTTTTGTACATAAAAGCAGGCAAGTTGTTTATGTCTCATGCCTTGTTTTTAAGGGTGTTTATGACGAGTGTAACTTCAATGGGGTTGGTTGGAGCTAGAAATAGCGTATTTGGGTAAGTACCTATGAGGCAGTCTGATGGACGAGCGTTTGTGCTTGGTATTTTTTTTGCTAGATATTTTCCTGTGGTGGAGAAGAAAACATTAAGTCTGTTTGCTGTTTCGGTTGGAGTGAGTAGGGGTTCATCTGATTTTGTTAGTTTGATTGCTTTGTTTTTGGATAACTTTTTAGTTCCAAGAATTTCAGATAGAGTTTTCCAGGTGTTTTTCATATCACCTTTGATGTTATGTAATCTATTTTCATAACACAATTTTTTTGACCTTATCAGGCTGGCTGACTGATTGGCTGGCTAGCTGGCTGGCTAGCTGGCTGGCTAGCTGGCTGGCTAGCTGGCTGGCCAGCTGACTGGCCAGCTGCATGGTGGCCAGCTGTGTGTCTGGCCAGCTGCTGGTGGCCTGGCTCTATCTCCATTTGTCTGTCTGTATCTATGTCTATCTCTGTCTCTATCTCTGTCTTTGTCTATCTTTGTCTCTATCTGTTTCTGTCTCTGTCTATCCCTGTCTATCTCTGTCTATCTGTCTGTCTATCTCTGTCTCACAGGTACACATAAATACACATATATATAGTGTAAATTACCTAGGATAACCCAAAAAATCCAGATAAATTGCTATACTCTGCTTGAAGATGTGAGTAAAGGTGATGACGCAGTCTTGTGGCTCTCTCTGAGACAGAGGTAGATGGATAGATAGACAGACAAATAGACAGACATGTTTGTGTACCAGCGAAAACAAAGGAGGGCGATGCTCATCAAACGTCACCTCTAATCTTTTCTTATCTGCTGCACCCTCCCCCACCCTCGTGTACGCTCATCAAACGTCCGCTCCTATCAGATGTTATCTCATCATGTCACTGTCAGGGGTGGACTTTTGTTTTCATGCTTCAAGGGATCTTAATTATTTTTAATTATATTACCTATTTTCCTCCTCACTCCTCCATAAACTCCTCCTCACTTTCCTCACCCCCTCCTCATCCTCTCCCTGCCTCACTCCCCACCTCCTACCTCATCCCCCTCCTCCTCCTCCCCCTCCTCCTCCTCCCCCTCCTCCTCCTCCCCCCTCCTCCTCCTCCTCCCCCCTCCTCCTCCTCCTCCTCCTCCCCCCCTCCCTCCTCCTCCCCCCGTCCTCCTCCTCCCTGTCCTCCTCCTCCTCCTCCCCCCTCCTCCTCCTCCCTCCCTCCTCCTCCTCCCCGTCCTCCTCCTCCTCCTCCCCGTCCTCCTCCTCCCCT